GCCACCAAAAACACAAAACGAACCCAAATTAGGGTTTATTGTTTCTCATCAACCGTAAGTCGGAATCAGGCCCATAATATACCATTTTGAAGGTATCGAAACAAGGATTCCAAATATATAATTTTCATAACATAAAAACAAAGCGTTTAAAACAAGCATGCAGTCAAAGTTACGAAAAATTAAATATGAATCTCCATTTTTCTCAAAATCCGACCGTTGGATTTTCATGAAACTTTGCAGATATATTTTACATGAAATATACAACATATGTAAATTTCAAGTTGATCGGAGAAAGTTCGAAAAAATATTAATTTTTCATGCATATATCACGTGTATATATATATAATTATATACATATTTTAATACACAAAAACAAGCACGAAAATACCCATTTATGGCTCTGATACCAATGTAAGATACAGATAACGCAGCAGGTAAAAGGATTCAAACCATATATTGTGTAAAAGAATCCGAAACAAAGAACGTTGTTAGTAAATCACGTGCTTGACAACCATGAACTATGAACACTGTTAAAACCTACCATCACCTACTACACCTACTACACCTACCACCACCTACTACCACCTACTACACACCTACCACTACCACCTACTACCACCTACTCCACTACATCTCCTATATAAGGAGCCCCTCACCATTTGTAATATTCTCTGATGGGAGAGAGTTAGAGAGAGAGTATAGGGAAAAAATGTTATAGATAAAAAACCACATCACGTATTTGATATTCCATATATTAAAATATATAATCAAATATCTAACCATATATATCCATCTATCTATATCTCCTAAGGATAGGATTGATGTAGATAGATAGAGGATTATCCTAACAAATAGGATAATCAAGAAATCAAATTCAAATTACCCATAATTTGAATGGGCCATGGGTCATGTCACATGGGCGCCCAAATTCGGGTCCAATACCCGGCCCAATTTCCAACATAAGTGATGTCATTTAAACCAAGGTGGTGGTGATAGTATAAAATTACTGAGTAAATCCAAGGAGATAATTGAATGTTCTTCTCCATACTATTGGTTTGGAGGAATTGGAAAGTCTATTCCTCTTTGATAGAGCAAATATATATATATATATAATACACACAGAGACGATGTACTTTGCAACTCTGTTTTTTCCATTGCAACAAGAAACTGAATGACAATCATCATTTAATCAAAGACCCAACCCACCTTGAGGCCTTTAAGCAAAAATGTTATCCTTCAAGTTGCAACACTAGTAGGAGCAAAAAAACACTTTATCTATAATAGCACTTGCACCACAGACATCCTCCAATTCATATAGGAAACCATTTGACTTGAAAGAGAAAGTTGGCAAGTGAAAAGCAATTTCGGGAGAAGTTGTCAAGATGTGAATTTGTGGGAAGTTGATTTTAATGTTTCCAAGTGGAAAGGAGTTTGTGAGAATTTTGATTATTGCCCCATAACTTGATAGAAGGAAAATAATACACAACTTCAGTACATGATCAACACCAAAATGAGCCCCCTTTATATATTAATATTGATAATATATTCATATAAGATATATTGAGGGTTCATTATGTCCACTCAAACTCGGACCAAATTTGACATGCTTTATTCTTAATGTTTCCCAATTCTTCTTACCTAGAAACTACTCTTGTATTTATCCTAACAATTACTCTAATGCTATGTAAGAAATACTCAACTTTCAAAATAAGTTACATGATCTAGACAATGCGGAACGTGATATGTGGAATTTATTTATTTGTAATTTTTTTTTTAATTTATGTTTTTTTTATTAGGGGTGACCATTGGTTTAATGGTTAAGACTTGGCCTAATAACCTTAAGGTTATGGTTTCAAGTCTTGGGGCCACCACTTTGTGCATTATGCTAAAGGTTAGGTGTGTACTCAATCTTTTCCCTCCCAAACACACATTAATGTGTACTAATTGGGCGTTGTTTTTTTTTTATGTTTTTTTTATTATTAATAATTTAATTAAAACCTTAGTACATTTAGTTACTTATTTTATTAGAGATTAGGCTTCCAAATAATGTCATAATTTACTTTGTTATTTTTAATTAGGGTTTCCTACGTTGCCTATATATATGGCTCTATGTAATAGTTTTCGGTTAACTTTGAGATAATAGTATTGAGTAGTTAAAGATTGTGGCCGTTTTTGTGAGATAAAGGGTTTGACCGTTGTATTCTTCTTCTCTCTTCTAGTTCTACTCAAAACTTTTTGATCTTCTCTTTTAGATCAATTCTCCACATATTCTGATTTTAGGATCAATTGAATAGCCGATTTAGTACTTGATTGAAATAAAATAAAATAAATTTCAAATTATAGATACGTTTAAGAAGTATCAAATAGGTTTATGCTAGTATCCAAAAAGTATTAATACTCGATACAAATACAACTCTCATCTAGAAGTATCTGTATTTCATAGGTTGCAATGAATGTCAAATCTGGAGGAGAAGGACTCCGAAATCCGAATCAAATTGGGTGGAAGAAGTTCGGGTGAATGCTGGAATCTTTCCCAAACCCTCGAATGTTTGGTTTTGAAGAACATATATATATATATATATAAACAAGTAGATACTAATATACTATCTAATCAAAGTTTGATTCTTTGATTTTGCTATTAATACCCCCAAGCAACTTAACCCTTCAAGTACAATTTAAAGTCTTTCCCTTACATCACACAGTTAAATGACAAAACTCCAATAGAGATTTTTTCAAAAATAAATAATAATAAAAATTAAATAATCCAATCGAGATCAAGAAAAGTAGTTCCTTTCATACAAAAACATGTCACAATTCACAAAATCAAGCTTCATCAAGATTTTCACAATTAACAAACATCAAAATAAATCCTCAAACCCTAAACTTCGTTTAATTTCGGAATGAATTGGAAATTTGAAACTTGTATAACAATTGTATATAACCGAGATAAACAAACACAAACATAGATATTGACGTAACTACATATAAGAAGGAAAATAAAGGAGAACCTAAAAGTTGAAAGTCTTGGAAGCTATCGCAAATAAGCAGCAATAAGAAAATAATTTTCTAAAGAAATATCGAAATATTTTAAAAACAAACCAAACAAGACCATAATATTTTAAAATATTTTTAGCATTTAAATAATTTTAGCATTTATTGTAATAAATAAATGATAAAGAGTGATGTTAGGGATCCCAATTAATCTACTAAATTTTCTGCCAAATCTCTCACATGTGTGAGTTTGTGCGGGTCGAAGTTTGGTAGATTATTTGGGGTTCGTAACATTTTCCAATAATAAATATAATTTTAAAATATACTACAAAACAAAAAAGGAGAATTTATCCATAAATCCTATATGGGGGAGAGTTGATCCATTTAGTCCTAAGAGTTTTCTTATGGACGGATTGGTCCTAGTTTTTTTTTGAAAAGGCGTATCTCTTGACTAGAATACCCTTTTTAATGATTCATTTTGGGAACAAATTGCTGGGTGTGTGAGATTAAAACCATACTGGTTTAAAAATAAAAACACATTAAAACGATAAAAACGCTAGAAAACCTTGACAGAACAATGTCCATACACATTGACAATATAACCACCATTACTTATTTTCATATCGTTCAACGACACAGTTGAGTAGGGTGTTAATGCCGTGTTATATAAGCAGATCCAACACATCTACAGTTCCACAACACAGGACACTACACCTAGGTTGGCCAACATGTAATGCCAAACCACATAGACATTAGGATCACATAACCAGGACCACATTTTGGTTATATGGTTTAATGTGTATGTGGAATTCTCATATATCACCCATTAACATCACAATCCAATTGCAAAATGTGCCACCCGGATAATACCCCAACCTAGAAGTGAAAGAGAAACACAGAATGGTTGATCCTACCAAAAAAAAAACCACACATCAACACACAAGATTGAATACCAGATGACGTTGCCAAACAATCTAAACCCAACAAAATTTAAAAATCTAACAGTGGTGGACCAAATACCAAGCACATACCACAAAAAAGGCATACAACATCAGTATACCACAAAAAAGGCATACAACATCAGTATTAAACCCCAACGTTACAACTCCTAACTCTACGCTAGCAAACCCTATCGATAGGCCTCCCATTCCCGACTCCTTTTCAAATAAACATCACTAACTTGGTCGTGGCGTTGTCATCTCCGCAACACCCATTCAACAATACAAATTCAATGTCTGCTGGCTCTAACACCCAATCCCTCGTTCACACAATGTAGGGTTTCTGTATCCTAATGTGCCTCAATCTCATGACTTCTGGAAGTTGCAACGAAGAACATTGGAACCCAATGTCATATTAACTACGCAACAATTCAACATTGGGAATACAGAATCTTTCCTACCCTGATAGTGTGAGATTCGATTGCAAAGGAGGGAAAACACAAAAAATCTATAATGAACTTGGTGTAAATGTGTAATTTCAGCCTATTGCAAAATCCCACATTCACCCTTTGTTTTCCACACACGCGTGTTCTGCCCCCATCCCTTAAAGTAATTTCACTTAACAAGACTTTTGGGTACATAAGAAAAACCTAGGGACTAATCAGTTCACAAAATCTAAATTTAGCATTTATTGGTACTTCACCCAAACAAAAATGACGAAATAATATAATAAGGTGAGATGATATGATTGTAAATGATCCAAATTAAAAATAAATAAATAGGATGAATCATCTTATTTTGAGCTCACATCAAAATATTGGACAATTCAATTCTTTCCAAAATAAATAATTAGAAACATAAAAATTGAATATAAAATTAAACAGAACCCTTTTACATGAGATGAATCTCACTTTTTATTAATCCTACATCAATTCAGCCATATATTTTTGTGCAGGTAGAATAATTATTGTTTACAAAGGTCAGTGACAATCTTAACTAATAAAAAAATATGTATAATTATTAGGGTTTAAATTAGTAAAATGGTAAATAATGGTTTTAGGTTATACTAACCAGAAATACCGGCGGTGCAGTAAACAAGGACGAAGATCATGCCGCCGAAGGCCCATGCGATGCCGAGGATGCCGACACCGCCACACTGGTCAGGGTTCTTGATGGGGTCAATCTGGCTCTTGTAGCCGATGACGGTGAGGACGGTGATGTAGAGGAAGAGAAGTGTGGCTATGAACTCTGCAATGATAGCTCTGTAGAACGACCATTTTGTCGGCTCCACCACGTCCACTAGCGGAGCTGGAGGCGGGTCGTGGTAATCCTTGGCTGAGAACTCCTGCTCTGTTACTACTGTTTTCTCAACTTCCTTTGCCATTCTAACAAAAGGCCCTCTGTGTGTAGAGAGAGAGAGAGAGAGAGAGAGAGAGAGAGAGTTAATGTAGGATGTGGAAGGTGAGGAAGAGAGGGGTCGGTATTTATGGAGAGAGAGAGAGAGAGAGATTGCGGGGAGAGAGAATTTTGGACCCTGTTTGGAATGGTTTTCAAACCAGGATTCCAGCCCTTTATTTGCGTGGGATGTTTGTTTATAGTTTCCACAGTTAATTCTACGCTCAGTTTTGAAAGTTTTATAAAAGGCGGAAAAATTTAGACTAATCAGTCGTTTGGTCGATTGATCGGAATCGTATAAATTTTTATTTATTTATTTGTTTTTATTTTTTTTATAATTGACATATGTCAATTATTATATATTTAAAAAAATATTTTTTGAATTTTTAAATTTTTTTTATGTATTTTAATAGAATTTTGAGTTGTATGTTTGGTTATGAGTTATAAGTTTTTATATCAAATATCATATGTCACATCAAATTTTCAACATTTAAATCATAATTCCACTCACAAACTCAAAATATAACTCCTACTCTCAAATCATAATTAGAAAACTCTACCAAACGCAACCTTAAATTTCAAGAGAGAATGAAGGTTGATTAATGAATTTAATTAAGGAATTAGTTATGAAAATTTTGGAAAGAAAAATAGATTCCAGACAGAGAATTTTGAATTTCAAAGAGAATGGAAATTGATTAATGAATTTAATTAAGGAATGAGTTGTGAAAATTTTGGAAAGAAAAATAGATTGCAAGGAGGGAATTTTGAATTTCAAGAGAATGAAAGTTGATTAATGGATTTAATTAAGGAATGAGTTATGAAAATTTTGGAAACGGCTGATCTGACAAGAAAAATAGATACACCATCTCTAATCATTTATTAAATTTTTCGTTTGATTTTAAATGAGTAAAAATTTGTTTTGATATGGGTTATTCCAATCTTTCATTAAATTTCATCAAAAGTTTTTAAAAAATTACTTGTTCGTCTTAAATTTTATTATTCTCTCCATCCCACTCAAAATATAAGTCTTTTCTTAAAAATTAAGGACTAAAATAATATAAATTTCTTATTTTGTTCTCTTTTTTTTTAAATTTATTAACAACACAAAAAAGTATAATTATGATAATTGATATTTCCTAAAAAATGTACTGTACTATCAAAGGATAATTTTGAAAATTATTTTTTTTTAAATGTAATAATTGTATTACTAAAAAAAATTAAATTCTCCAAAATAGACTATTATTTTGGGACGGAATCAAATTTAAAAGAAAAAAGCTTATTGAAAATTTAGTGAAAGATTTGGTTCATCCTTAATTTGACAAAAAATTTGGCTGCGTTTGGAGAAGCTCTCCAAACACATTTCCACCCATTGATTTCAGTGTAGTATTTGTTTTGAGTTTTCAAATTATAATTCTACACTCACTTTTGAAAACTCTTTTCTAGGCGGGAAAATTTGGCTAACTCGGACGTTCGGCCGATTGATCGAAACAGTGTTCGATTTTTTTTTTGTTTACACCTGTTATTTTTATATTTTAAATCAAAAATATTTCTAGAATTCATTTTGGCAAATTTCAACAAACTTTCCTTCTAATTTTGTATGTGTTATTTGGATATAGGTTTTTTAGTATTTTTTTATTGTTTATTTGTTTATTTTTTTTATCTTTTATGACCTTTTTCAAATTTTTTCTTAAAAAAATTAAATATTTACATTCTATCTGACTAGACAAATATAAAAAATTAAAAATATTATAATATATATATATATAAATATAATTTACCCCACCATTTGATACCACTACAAAATTGAGTGAAGAAGATGAAGAAACTTCAAACCCCTTTACAAGTATTTATTTTTGTGAAATTTCATTTATGAAATTGTTTGAAATTTGCTTGAAATTAGTTGAGATTCTTCTTGCTTTGTTTGAGATTGCTTGAAATTTCTCTGAAATTGTTTGATTGTTGTCTTTGTAGTGATTGTTGTTGTTGTTTTCTAAATTTGTTATATATATATATATATACATATGTTCTGTTTTGTTTTGTTTTTTTGAGGGGGGGTAATGTTGCCTCTATCTCCATCTCCAAAAATCTAGAAAATAGTATTTTTTATTATTATTGTATTGCTGCTGAATTTTTCCCAATGTGTTTGTTTGTTTGTTCCATAGAAATTTTGGAGCCAAATTCTATTTACTTGGATGATGATTGCCAAACATGTTGCCAAATTTGACAGAGAAAATGGCAATTGTCAAATTTAACAAGGTTTATAGCAGTCCATTTGAGTACGAATTTTGGAGATTATTGCTAAATTTTGTCAATGGCAGCTCCAATAGCTTGCCATTGGAGATGCTCTAATGTGTGAGGAAAAAAAAAAATTTCTTTTAATATCTAACAACCTTCTTCTCTATGATTAATTAGAACATTCACATCAGTTTCAACAAATTTCGAGTCAAATTCTAATTTAAAAAACTAATTTCTTATTTTAATTAAGGGATTTTTATTGATAAGTCCAATTTAGAAGTGTTTTAACCCAAGAAGTCCATGAAGGAATTTTTTAACCCATTTAGTCCCATGTATGTATAGTTTTATTCCATAAAGTCCATTTTCTTGATTTACACTATTTTCTTGGACACTTATGCCCTTATATTTAATTTTGATACCCTTATAAATATTTTTTCAACGATTAGCAATTTAATGATGTAAACATTCATACTCAATTTTGACCTTAATTTTAGATTTTGTGTTAATTTGGGCCCATTGATAACGTTATTAGTGTTTTTTATGAAAAATTATCACTAAATTGGTTGAAGTTAACTCACTGAGTTGAACAAGTTTAAAAATTTTCCTTGAAAAACATAAGTCACTTGTGTGCATATTTTTCATTAAAAAACACTAACAATTGTAAGCATTTGGATTAAATTGAGAAAAAATAAAAAATTCAGTGTCAAAATTGAGCAAACTATAGAGACCAAAATCACACAAGACCAAAATACAAGGATTAACGTAATTTGTCCTTTTTTTATTTTTACTTTTATGCATATTTATGGTAGTATTACTTTTTAGATTAGTTATGAAATTTTGTAGTTCTATTATGCCATAACTAGTGGTTTTTTGATATAAAATGCGTAAGTTATGCCCAAGTATAACTCATTATTTATGATTAAGTTCGCTATGTACTTTAATGTTTTTTTTCTTCCTAATTTTCTTAATTTTTACACATTAATGGTAGCATTACACACATCAATGTTTTTTTTTTTTTTTTTGTTGATATTAATGCACAAGTTATTTCAAAGTATTGTTTTTGTTTTTTGGTTATGATGAGTTACGGCACTTACGGATTAGCTACATATTTTAATGATTTTTTTCAATTTTTTAAATTATTATGCAAATTAATGGTATCATTACGTATTTTTGTGGATTCATTATGCAAATTTATAGTTCTATTGTGCCATACCTAGTGGTGTTTTAACACACAAGTTATGCTACCATATCGTTCATTACGACACTTAATGATCCGTTACATAATTTAATGGGTTGTTTTAGGGGGGGCAAATTACATAGATAGTCTCTACATTTTGTCTCTTATTTTAATCCCTGCACTTTCAATTAGCTCAATTTTGACCTTAATTTTAGATTTTGTGTTAATTGGGTCATGGGCCAATTTTACACTCTTGTCAATGTTAATGTTAATGTTAATATGTCAATGTGAATATTCATATTGTGAACGGGCCGGCCCTGGCCCGCCCCGGGCGACGGGCTAGTTTCGGGCAGCCCACGGGCTGCAGGCCAATTTTACACTTCTATCAATGTGAATGTTAACTTGTCAATGTGAATATTCATATTATCAACGGGCCGGATCGGGCCTATTTTTTTGGCTTGTGGGCCGCCCGGCCCGACTCGAATTTTTCCTGGCACCCACGAGGATCGACATGAGCCGGACCCCTACACATTGACGATATAAACATTTATATTGACGGTGTGAACATTCACATTAAGGGTATTTTGGTAATTATGTCACCCATAGGACTTATAACATAAGAAAATAATGTGAACTAAATGGAACATAAGTAGATGAAAAAGGTATTTTGGTCTTCTTATCTCAAATTGGACCTAATGGAATAGTCAAAAAGAATATGGGTTGGATGGAATAAAGCTCTTAGAAAATGGATTTATCAAAAAAACTCCCTTTAATTAATTACTATTTTAACTGTATCATTCATTAGACTCTCTATTCTAATTCTATTTTATCATTCATTCCCTCAATGAAAAATACTCAAAAAAGTCAAAATAGTGGAGATAAAATTTATCCCCCCCAAAAAAAGATAAACTATTCAATTGCCAGTAAATAGTGGTGTCTCAACAAGTTAAGGTATTGTAGCAGTCATAAATAATAACTAATCATATAATTTGTTTTTTGAGTCAGATGGAGCATTGTTTCATGATTTGCTAACTATATTTAATTAAAAATTTTAATTTATAGAGACTAGTGTGAATACTCTTACAAAATACAGTGTTATGAGTTTATATATGTTGGTGGTTGGCAGTGTAACGAGTTTATATATGTTGGTGGTTGGCACGCATGATATTAATGGGTAATCCCCAACAGTAGCTTTCTACGGCTATTTTAAAAGGATGGTTAAAAATTATTTTTAACTTTTAATTCGTTTTAGGTCATATTATTTTTAATATTTTTTACACATTTTTTTTGAAAAAAAATCAAAAAATTAACTTTTAACTATGAGTAATGCTAAAGATCCCAAAAATTATACCAAAGTTTCTACCAAATGTCTCACATGGGTGTGAAACCCATACAATGTGTGTCCCATGTGAATCCCACACCCATGTGAGACATTTGGTAGAATTTTTGAGGTGTCTACCATTTTTGTTTAACTATATTTCCAAAACAACCCTAATGGAGCCTTCACATTTGAGAAGTTGGCTATTTTAATAGGTTATTTTAAATATTGACTATTTTAATAGGTTAAAATAGTTATGTTTGAGGAGAGGGTGAGATTTTTTTATAGTTGACTATGATATTTGTGAGGAAAAAAATAAAATAATTATGAATTTGATATGACATTTTGTTTTATTAGTTATTTTAGCATATTTTATCTTTGAATGCTATTTTAGCCCAAAAAACCAAAAATCCTTTTCAAAAT